GAAATTCCATTTAACTGTTAAAGCAGGAGGATTTGATACATCAGAAAGTTATTGTATTATTAGGACAAAATGGTACAGGTAAAACTACATTGTATTAGATTATTAGCAGGTCAAACATCTCCAGATGGATGAAAGTATTCAACTTCCAAAATTGAATGTATCATATAAACCACAAAAGATTTCACCAAAGTTTGAAGGAACTGTTCAAGAGTTATTAGAACAAAAAATTAAAACAATGTTCTCTCATCCACAATTTAATACTGATGTTATTAAACCATTAAATATCCAACCATTATTAAGTCATAAATTAAAAACACTTTCAGGAGGAGAATTACAACGAGTTGCTTTAGTATTATGTTTAGGAAAACCAGCAGATGTTTATTTAATTGATGAACCATCAGCATATCTTGATTCCGAACAAAGAATAGTTGCATCTAAAGTTATTAAACGATTTATTCTTCATTCTAAAAAGACTGCATTTATTGTAGAACATGATTTTATTATGGCTACTTATCTTGCTGATAAAGTTGTTGTATATGAAGGTAAACCAGCAGAAGAATGTATTGCAAATCCACCAGTTAATATGGTTGATGGAATGAACACATTTTTGAAATCACTGAATATTACATTCAGAAGAGATCCAGACAATTACAGACCAAGAATTAATAAAGAAAATTCACAAAAAGATCAAGAACAAAAGAGAGAAGGAAAATATTTCCACACAGAATTAGATTAAATGATATAAGTGAATTCTTTTATTTTCATAATTAAATGAAGGGTTAAATTGTTTTTACTGTTTTAAACTAACGAAACAAAACCAAAAATTAAACAAAATAATAAATAAAGAAATAAAACCCAACCTAAATATCATCTTCTTCTTGAAAAAATTGAACGCATAATAACCGAGAAAGTGAAAAAGTTGTAGGCCATTCTGACCCAACAAAAATAGTGTTATCAATTAATGAAGGATGAGTATAACCATTATTAAACAATGTCCTTATAAAACATTCATTATTATTAGAAATCCAAAATCCATTAAATACACTAAAGATATCATTATTTTGATCATCTCCATAAATATATAATGTTTTCTTCCATCCTTTTTGAAGAGCAAATCTTCTAGGTGAAGTATTAAAAGGATTTTTTAATGTAAAGAGGAAATGAGAATCATCATCTTCAACCCATACTTCTTGTGAAGGAGGTAATTTAGAATGAAATGTCCCAAAAATGTAATTGTGTTCTGTTATAATAAAGATTATAATATTTTGTCTTCCTTTCAAATGACTCCAAAATGATCTTGAAGTAAATTCGTGTTGTTCAGTATCATAAATGACTTCATATTTCTTTGAACCGATCCATCGACTCATGATAAACTGAAGTAGATTTGAGGCATTTGCCATAAAATAAGAATAATAAATAAAGTTCTTTCAAAGATGATAACTTTATCTAAATTATGAAATACAAAATAAAAGAAAATTTTTGATATTAAAAACAAAAATAAACCGATTATAATTTTATTTCAATAAAATCAGGGAATGAAGATGAACGAATAATTGTTTTTGGAATATTTGACGACATTTTAAAACATGCACAAAATATTCTACAATGAGACAATTTAGATTTTAATAATGGATATAATTTATCCATCACACTTGGTAATAAATACATAACTACTACTGTTATCTTATTCCATGGTATTTGATTAGTTTTAAAGAAGTCATCACATATAAATGTTATTGGTTTAGTTAATTTACTTTCTTTATAATGGCTCTTAGCTTGAGAAATGGCTTCTGGTTCAATATCAATTCCATAAGCTTCATTACATTGAGTTTGAAGTAATGACTCAATTATTATTCTACCATCTCCACAACCTAAATCTAGTAGAACGTCATTTTGTTTTAACTATTAATGATAAATATTTAGAAATAGTTGTTAATAACTATCAAACTTGCATAAAAGGAATTAATTGATTTAATGTTTGGATAGTGATAGGAACAAATGGAGCTTTTTCATTTTGTTCATTACTGATATTATTAATATCTTCTTCATAATAAAATGGAATCCATTGTTCTTCTTCAGGAACAACAGAATCAGCCCAATTCATTTTAAAAAATAATTTTAGTTTAACAAAATATTAAAAAAAAAAAACCCTTTTTTGTTATTCTTTTATTTTAAAAAAACAACAACAAAAAACTCGAAGTGATGTTAGAAATTAGAAAAAATTACTTATTAATTATTTCTCTTTCTTTTTATTCGAAAGTGGTATATTTTGGCTTTGACTTTCTATTCATCAATATTACAGCTACAATTCCTATTATTGCTGCTATTATCACTATGCTAGCAAATCCTATAGCACTCCCTACAACAACATATACCATAGAATCTGTTGTTGGTTCTTGTAATTCAGAACTTGATGTTTCATTTGTATTAGATGAAGAAGAAGATTCATTTGGAGTATAAGATGAATCTTCTGATGATGATGATGAGGTGTCATTAGGTGCAACATAACAGGCGTCTTCAATACATGTTTGACTTGTTCTATCAAATTTATATCCATAGTCACAATAAGATGGAACACAACTTAATGTGTACCATCTTCCTTCAACACATGGATGTCCTCCATGAATATGCTCACCTTTAAGTTTTTCATCACATTTAGGATTTTGTAAAACCATAGGTGAATTGACATCACATTCAATAAGATATTTATTCACTAATTTAAGACCTTCACTAACAAATTTATTTACATTGTCATCATTATAATCATATAACGCTACCCGTTCATTACTTCTTCCTTTAATAAATTCTCTTGGTACACTACTCTTAAATGAATAATTTGTTGGATATAACTCAACAAATGAAACAGTCATATGAGATCCTTCTTTAGTTAAATCAGTTGATGAACCACATAAAGCATAACCTGATGCCATAATAACAGATGTAGCTGTTCCAATATCAAATTCATTATTTTCTGGATCTCCACCATACCCAACTATAATTGCAGAACCTGACTCAGCGAGATTTTTTATAAAGAATGAACAAGTTCCTCTACAATAACCATCAGTAAAAATAACAATCTGATGTGGACTTCTTGGATGATTTTTTAATTCAGTAAAAAAGAGTACATCATTAGACTTCATAATAGATACTTGAGATCTACTATGAGTAATATTATTTTCAAATTCATCAACAACTGGTTTAGAATAAAATGGTCCAAGAGGTTTTTTTAAGTTAATAATAATATTATTTCCACTGACAGATCTTCGTACTTGACAATTCTTTGGATCATACATATGTTGTGCGATATCTAATTTTAATATTTTCTCACTATTACCATCTACTCTTACACTACCATATATATAATTATCAGCATGTGGTGAAAGTAATTTAAAAATACTTCCTTCAATATCTGCATCTCCTCCTTCATTCATTGGAAGAATAACTTCAATTGGATAATCATTCTCATCAATCATTTCAAAGCATTTATTTAATGTTTGAATATATGTTGATGTTTTATTACTTACGTCATAATAAAAACTATGAATAACTATTACATTAATACTTTTTTCTCCTTCAATAAATGTTCCACATTTTACATTATTATCATCACTTGTATACTTAAATTGACTATTACCGCTATGTTTTATTGAATTTTTTAATGCACCTTTAACTTCTTTATAAAGAAGTTTATAAGGTATTGTTACAGTTGCTCCATTAATATATTCTATAACTATATCTTCTAATTCATCTGATGTTAAAGGAATTTCTCCTAAATCTATTTGGAAGTGATAATGAAGCATATAATTAAAGGCGGTATTAGCATTTTTTAAACTAACTAATTTATTACTGAGTGTACGAAGATATTCCAATGGGTTTTGTTTATTAATTAATTTTACTTCTTGATTATTATTATCAATAAGTTCTTGTGGAACAACATAACCATTCTGTTCAACAATTTGAGTTTTGACAGTAGACTGGTCAATAATGAATTTGAAAGGAAGAATAGCTTTAAAACTATCAAAATAAAAATTCTTCTTCTTTGAAGAACTAAACTTAAATTTTAAATTTGGGTCTTTTGCAAGTCTCATTATATCATCAACTTTTCTATAAAATTGATATATTGGTTGAGTACTTGTATCTAAAGACTTTAATTCTTCTTCAAGATGTGCTTCAACAGAGTAATATTGATCTTCTTTTAGTGGTGATTGAAGAATGTCTAAATAAGCATACATCCCAATTAAATCTTCAATATCTCCTTGAATACTTACTGCGTCTGAAATGTCTAAATTTGTTTCATAAATACACTCAAATGCTTCTTCTTTTGTATAAAGAGTTCCATCAACCATAGAGGCACAATCTAAAGCTGTACTAATACAAATAAGTGTAAACAACAGCATCAATGCCTATTTCAGTTTTATTCAGTTCATTTTTAATGACTATCTACCTATTTTTCTTTTTATTTTTAATAGTTTTTTTTACTATTTTTTTAGTTTATTTTTAATGAATTAAATAACACTATTTTTCTTAAAATATTTTTTATCATTTGATTTATTTATATAAATATATTTTGATTTATTCATCAAAATAATTAATTTTCATATAAAGAGTAAAAGACTAAATTAATTCTTTTAAATGAGAGATAATATATTTATTGTTGTATTTAATTTAACAACATTTTAATTATTTAACTGATGAAATATTTTTTCGTTACAATATCATGCAAGTTTAACACAAAACATTAGATCCCACGTTATAATCAAGAATGTCAAATTCAAAAAATAGAATCTATTTTATAATTTATACTTCTTAAGTAGTTTAAATAAAGAAGAAGTGATGGTTTACAAGTAATTAATAAACTCAAATATTTAATATTAAGTTAAAATATAACAATCAAAAGATAATATCGGAAGAAGAGTATTGAAAGAATATACTTCAATTCTTATAGACTTAATATAATTAAGAATTAAGAATGTTAATGAAACAAAATTATAATGGTGTTATTAGTTTATTGAATTATAACTCAGAATAGTTATTAGAAAAAAAAAAGAAATGATGTTTTGTAATAAAAATGTAGAGTTGATGTATGAAATACATCAATTATTAACTAATATTGAAGTTATATCTTTGATTCTTTAAAAATGAATAATCATAATTAAATTTTATAGCACAATTTATTTTGTTATCACTATAAAACATTATCAAAAATATGAATTTATAAGGTTGCTGTTGTATGTTAAAAAAGAGATAAGATGGTAATACTTTAGATAAGAAAATGATTTATGTATAAGCGAATTAGAAGAATCAGAATTAATTAATAATTTTGGAATAACTTCGGCACTGACTTATTGTATAAAGAATGTATATAAAAAAGTATTATTAAAACAAAGAATTAATGAACTATGCTCAACAAAGACTTAAAAGATAGTTATGAATATAGATTCAATGAATGGAATAATTCATTACCATAATTTTTAAGACAATAGTTAATAGAATAAGTCAATAACAAACAAGAATAGAATTTCACACTTCAAACAATACTTGTCTTATAATTTCTTGACAATTAGAGAAGTGGTCAATTGATAATAATTCAAAATAATGAAAAGAATAATTGTCAGTTATTTTTTATACTGAGATATACAAATATCTACAACTATGATTTAAAAAAATGTTTCAAGTTATTCAAAATGAATATAGTTTATGAAAACTTATTAAAAATAAACAAGAACCTATTCAATTCTATTTAAGCAATTGGATAATATGCAGCTTTGAGAATCTTTTCCATATCCTTAACCATTGGGACTCTTGGATTAGCTGGTGAACATTGATCTTCAAATGCAAGAAGTGCCATTTCTGGTACTTTACTCATCCATGCTGCTTCATCAATATTTGCTTGCTTGAATCCAGTAATAGTCTCTGTGGCTTTCATTAATTCTTCACATGCTTTAGCAAATGCTTCAACTCCTTCAGCTGGTGTATTACATTTAAGTCCAACCATTTGTGCAAGTTCCATATATCTTTGGTCTGCCTTATAGAAATTATATTTTGGCCACATTGCAAGCTTTCTTGGTTTTTGTCCATTATATCTAATGACATGTGGTAATAATACTGCTACACATCTACCATGTGGAAGATGGAATGCTGCTCCAACTTTATGTGCCATGGAATGGTCCATACCAAGGAATGCTGATGCAAATGCCATACCTGCAATTGTTGCAGCATTGTGCATCTTTTCTCTTGCTTCTAAATCTCCATTATATGATTTAAGAAGATTTTCAAAGACTAATTTAACTGCTTCTCTAGCAAGTCCATCAGTATATTCATTAGCCATAACTGAAACATATGCTTCTGTTGCATGAACCAATACATCAAGTCCAGTATCAGCAATAGCTCTCTTTGGAAGTGACATAGTAAACATTGGATCAACAATAGCAACTGATGGTGTAAGTGAATAATCAGCAAGTGGATATTTCTTACCTGTTTCATGATCTGAAATAACTGCAAATGGTGTAACTTCTGATCCAGTTCCTGATGTTGTTGGAATACAAATTAATCTAGCTTTCTTACCCATTGTTGGGAATTTAAATGCTCTCTTTCTAAGATCAATGAATTTTTGTTTCATTGCAAAGAAATCGGCTTCTGGATGTTCATAAAGTAACCACATAATCTTAGCTGCATCCATAGCTGATCCTCCTCCAATAGCAATAATATTATCTGGTCCAAATGTATTCATAACAGCAAGTCCTTTTTGAACGGTTTGAATAGATGGATCTGGTTCTACATCAATGAAAATTTCAATTTCTACTTCATTACTTCTTCTTTTCAATACATCCATAACTCTATCTACATATCCTAATTTATACATCATTCTATCTGAAACAATGAATATTTTACTAAGTTCCTTAAGTTCAGCAAGATATCTAATAGAATGTGGTTCAAAGAAAATCTTTGGTGGAACTCTGAACCATTGAAGGTTGTTTCTTCTATCTGCAAGTCTTTTAATATTTAATAAATTATGATATGTAACATTAGCTGATACAGAATTTCCTCCATATGATCCACATCCAAGTGTAAATGATGGCCAAATATAGTTATAAATTGATCCAATTCCTCCTTGTGATGATGGTGTATTATGTAAAATTCTGCATGCTTTCATTGTAAGTGCATACTTTTCAACTACTGCTTTATCATTCGAATGAATAGCTGCTGAATGTCCTCTACCATTAAATTCAACCATAGCTTCAGCTTTATCAATACCATCTTGTGTATTTTCTGCTTTAAGAATAGCAAGAACTGGTGATAATTTTTCTCTTGTTAATGGTTCATTTGGTCCAACTTCTTTACAAACTGCACAAATAATATTACAATCTTCTGGAACTTTAATTCCAACTTGTTCAGCAAACCATTGTGGTGACATACCTGGACATTTTGGATTAAGTCTTGCATTATTAACATCTGCTGAATATGCATTAACTCCAAACATAAACTTTTCTAATTTAGCTTTTTCTTCTTCATTAATGAAATATGCTCCAAGTGTTTTCATTTCTTCAACTACTTGATCATAAATTTCTTTATCAATAATTGCTGCTTGTTCTGATGCACAAATCATACCATTATCAAATGATTTTGACATAACTACATCATTTGCTGCTTGTTTAATATTACATGTTTTTTCAATATATGTTGGTACATTTCCTGCTCCTACTCCAAGTGCTGGTTTTCCTGATGAATATGCTGCTTTAACCATAGCATTTCCTCCTGTAGCAAGAATAGTAGCAACTCCTGGATGATTCATTAATTTATTTGATGCTTCAATTCCTCCAAATTCAATCCATTGAATACAATTTTCTGGTGCTCCTGCTGCAATAGCTGCATCTCTAACAATTTTAGCTGCCATAATAGAACATTTAAGTGCTGATGGATGGAATGAAAATACAATTGGATTTCTTGTTTTAATTGAAATAAGTGACTTGAAAATAGCTGTTGATGTTGGATTAGTAACTGGTGTAACTCCACAAACAACTCCAACTGGTTCTGCAATTTCTGTAATTCCATAAAGTGGATCTACATTAATAATACCAACTGTTTTAGCATGTCTCATTTCATGTGTAACATGTTCACATGCAAATATATTTTTAGTAGCTTTATCTTCAAAAATACCTCTTCCTGTTTCTTCAACTGCAGCTGCTGCAAGTGCACAATGTTGATCAAGTGCTGCAACTGATGCTTTCTTTACAATATAATCTATTTTTTCTTGTGTATATTCTGGTTTAAGATATTCTTTAAGTGCAACTTGTGCTTTAGCAACAAGTTGATTAATATGTTCATCTACAGTCATAGTTTGTTGTGTTGACATGTTACTTATTTGATTTGAATGAATAAACAATACTTTTAGCTTAGTTTAAATAGTTCTTCAAACGTAGGAATATAAAAACTTCAAAAGAAAAAAATAAGAAGGTTTGTTGGTGTTTCTAACCTAAAATATTATTTTCTTTTGGTTCTATAATCGTATCTGACTGTTATTCTTTCGGATTGATTCAATACAATTATTTTTTTCTTATTTGGTACTTTCAAGAAATTTGGACCTTTTTCATATTTACCAAACTAAAGTAATTCATGAAGAAGTAAAGTAACTTCAATTGAAATTCAGTTAATTCAGATATTAATAGTCATAGATTATTCGACATTTTGTTGAAACAAGAAAAGAATTAACTAACTTGAAATTTTCAATAATTATGAATATAATTCTTCTTATTTGAATTAATTTGTATTAAATAATTACTAGGTTTTATATTATAAGAAGATTTAAGAAACAAATAAAGAGGATAAAACAAAAATATCTATCGTATAATGTACGATCAGGGTTTTTGACTTAGAAATGAAGTTAAAAGAGTGTTATTGATGGAAAGTTATTTGACTTAAAGTAATATTATTTAATGAACAAAAATCAATTAGATGCAAATAATAAAGAAGAATTGTGAGTTGGATTTTGTAAGAGATAAGTTTTAAGAAGAAGTAAATCATTAAGCATCTTTTTTGTTGTCATTACATATTCAGGAAGAATCCATAATTCAAGAATAGATCGAAAATCACTTTGAGGTGGAATTTGTTTAATATCAAGAGAAGTTGAATGAGTTACAAACCTATAAAGACATTGAACAATAAATTTAATATTTTTATTCATACATTTTATTCTATATGATTCTTCTAACATTTCTGATGGTAATAAATAACTTTTTTTTTGTTTATTAATAAACCAATACTTCATTAATGGAAATATATCAGTAATAATTACTTTATCACAACTTTCATTTATAAGAATATTATTTGAATGTAAATGATAATGAATAATTCCTTTTTGTTCAAGGTAATGTAATGCAGATACCATTCCATTAATAATCTTATAAATTTGATAACTTCTTAATGGTTTATTCCATATTTCATTTAATGTATATGGCATTGAATAATCATAAATAACATATACATTTAAATTTGTTCTACAAACTCCACCAATATGTGGTAAATTTGGGTGATTTATCATTTTCATTGAATAAATTTCTTTTGGTAAACTATCAATATCAAATAAATGAGATAAAGGAATTTGTTTATATGTTACTTCACTACCAAGAAATATTGCTTTTCCAATAGTACTATGTTTTCCTTCAATAAACAAATGTTGATGAAGTAAAAATGAAATATCAACTAAATAAGAATTAGTAATAATATCATGTTCTTCATTAAATTCTTCATATCCTTCTTTTTGAATTTTATTAACAATTAATGTTAAAATAGTTATACAAAAGATAGCAAAGATAATTAAAATATTATTCATTAAAACAATAAATTCATTATTAATATATAATGGATCAATAGTAAGAATAATACTATGAATTGTTAATAAAATATTTACACAATTTACTAGTAATTCTACTATACTTACTATAATCCCTAATTTGGTATGTAAACTATGTCTTATTTGAAATAACCCACTCCATTGTATTAATACTAATAAAGTTAAACTACCTGAATTTAATAAATTCATAAATATTAAATAATTTGTTTGAGAAGTTACTAAAGAATGAATAGCAATAACTCCAACAAAATGAGTAATAGTAACTAACACCATAATTCCTTGAATTATTTTATTTGGATTACCAATTAATATAACATAAGTATTTTGTTGTACATTTATACCTAATATAAACAATGTTGTACTTAACCCAAGAATTAAATTCATTATTTGTTGTGACATTTCAAAATATAAAGAAACATAAAGTCCAAAAATAAGGAAAAATACAAATAAATATAAGTGTTGATGAATTAATTTCTTTCCACATTTAATAAAAAATACAATAATAATCCCTAATTCTATTATCATAAAAACTAAATTAATAGAAGCTAAAAAATAATAAAGAGCCATTTCTTGAGTTGTACCCATTAAAGTGTTGTTGGGTTTAAAGTTTCTTTTACTTCAAATAAATATATAATAACATAATTTTTAATTTTTAAAAATATGTTATTAATGAAGTATAAGAAAATATAAAATAAATATAATAAAAATTAAAATAAATGAATAATAAGAAAATCAATATAAGAGTAAAATAAGTAAAAAAACGGGAAATATCACAGAAAAAAAGAATAATGAACTGAGAAAAAAATAGGTTTAGGTTAGCCACTCGGAAACAGAATGGGAAGAAGAACACTGAGTCAAAGAAAAGGAAGAGGGTCTATTTTCAAATCAAGAAGTCATCATAAGTTGGGTGTTGCTCAACATCGTGCTATTGATTTCTTTGAAAGACATTCAACAGTTAGAGGATTAGTTAAATCAATTGAACATGATCCAGGAAGAGGAGCTCCTCTTGCTAGAGTTGTTTTCAGAAATCCAAGACAATATGGACTTGATAAAGAATTATTCATTTGTGCTGAAGGATTATATTCAGGACAATACATTTATTGTGGAAGTAAAGCCTCCCTTCATATTGGAAATGTCCTTCCAATTGGACAATGCCCAGAAGGTACTGTTGTTTGTAATGTTGAATCTAAACCAGGAGACAGAGGAATTATTGCAAGAGCATCTGGAAATTATGCTACTGTCATTTCACATAATGCTGATAATGAAACTACTCGTATTAGACTTCCATCTGGAGCCAAAAAGACATTAAAATCAAATTGTAGAGCTATGGTTGGTATTATTGCAGGTGGAGGAAGAACTGAAAAACCAATTCTTAAGGCTGGTGTTGCTTATCGTATGTATAAGGCTAAAAGAACTACATGGCCAAGAGTTAGAGGTGTTGCTATGAATCCAGTTGACCATCCACATGGAGGAGGAAACCATCAACACGTTGGACATCCAACTACCCTTAAGAGATCATCTCCACCAGGACAAAAAGCTGGTAAAGTTGCTGCTAGAAGAACAGGTCTTATTAGAGGAGGTAATAAAGAAGGAGCTGCTGATAATTAAACTTGATTCGGTGTTATAATTTCTTATTTTTTTTTATCTTTTCTTTGTTTTCATAAAAAGAGTTGATTTAATATGAAAATTTAATCTGATTAATCTTGTTGTCTTATTATCATTAAGAAAGTCTATAATAACCCATAACTAATTTTACACTACCAAAATGGTAAGAACTTTAAATTATGAGTATTACTTAACTTTATTACTCAATTAAAAAAGAAAGTAGGTTATTTGTTGTTGTATAAAATCTTTTATGAAGTTTATAAATTCCATTTCATTATCAGATGAATAGAGTTACTACCCTTCTTATAGTCATCATAATTGACTATGTAATAGGACAAACAAACTCTACAAGTGAATATCCTATTGAAGTGAAGACAAACAGTGATAAATCAGAAAAAAAAACTATTGCAATAATAGTTTCTTCTCTTTTTGTCTCATTTCTTATAGTCTGTGCAGTTATTCTTATTATTGCTGTAGTTATTCGTAAGTATCTAAATGTTAGATCTCAGAAACAAAACAATGAAGAAGAAATAACCAATTCTCTTTCTACTTCTTCAAATCCAGAAAAAAAAGGTAATGAGTCAATATCAAATAAACCTATGGCTGAAGTCTCAATAGAACTTGAAACCACCCATGAAAGTACAACTTCTTCATTTTCAAGTACTTCTTCCGTATCTTCTCAAACACATCCCAATGGTAATTCTAATGAAGAAAACAAAAAAGGATTACAAAATTGAAGGCTGTTTTAATTATACTTATCTTTATTAAGTTATTCTGGTTTAACACCTCAAACAAACATTCAAAAAAATAGATATTCATTTTGTTCATGTAACTCCTTCATAATCGATTATTTTTAAATAAGTAAAACATAAATATATTAAAGAATTTAAAGAAATAGATTATTTTAATAAATTCATAAACATTATTGTTTTATTTTGTTTTAATGAATTACCAACAATACTTTTCTTATTACATATACTTTCAATGCTTTCTCTTGTACCAATAAATAGAGTTATGTAAAGAAATGTATTAAATAAACTAGTATTATTACTCAAAGTTTTAAGAATAACTCTAGACTCTGAATATGAATATTATTTATGAAAGTCAGCTTCAAAAGGATAATTTGTTATAAAAGTAGATGTGTTTATTATTAAAAGAAATAATTTAGAATGATTATTATGTTTTATTGTAATAGTTTAAAATAACAAGAAATAAGTGTGTTAAATTGATAAATATATATTTTGTCAATAAAAATATAAAAGATAAATGTAAGTCAAATTCTGAATCATGCAAATAAACTTCAAAGAATTTATTTTAATTTATTTATTATTTTTCAATTATTTTCCCAACTGTCATTTATTTAGTGTTTAGAGAATTTAAGTATTAATATTAAATAAAATACTATTCATTATTTATAATTGGAAAGATATATTCTGTTTCTTTGTTTTATCTTTTTTTGAATATAAAGAATGAATGATAATTCAATTCATGAAGAACATTTATACTCATCAATTTCACTGTATGTATATTATCTTTTTTTCTGATCACTCATTTCTTTCTTTTCTCTTTAGAGAAACAACTTATAGTTATTGGTTTTATCAACGAATTAGACAAATTTGTATCTCAAAGGAAAGTAGTTAGTATGATTATTTTTATGATTGTTGAAATAAAAAGATTACATTTATTGTGATTTAACTCTCTTTTTATCTGATTATCCAAAAGAAAGATTTAATATACTTGAACATACACTCTTATCTTGACAATCAATTTTTACAGTCATTAGTTTTCTTTACTATAGAGTATTTCTTGTATATGATGTTGTATTCAATGTATTTATAAATAAACAATTTCATAAGAAACGTCTAATCAATTAATTTAAGACAAAGTTTAATCATATGAGATGAATAAAGTATAATCGAGGTTTAACCCATTATTGATAAATTTATGTCTTTTAATAATTCAATTAACAGAATATATATTACTAGTATATTGTTGTTGATTGTTATTGTAAAGAATGAAGAGAAAAATAAAAACTAAGAAGGAACAAGTTCAATAAGTGTTTATAACTATAGTTAATTATCTTCTTAGATGAACTTAATTGTATCCATTTTGAATATCTATTATTAAGATGCATATCATAATAAATCATTTTAAATATCATTTAGTTACATTGAACTAAATAAAAATGATTTGAAGTACATTTAACATTATATCGTATTTAATGAGTTTATAACTATTATTCATCTTTGAGACTTTGTTATTTAATCACTTTTAAATAATGATTTTACAATCACGAAAAGTGATTTGATTTTGTTTAAAAAATGAAATGACACAGAGATTTGATTAGAAGAGATTGTATCATTGATAAACCAACTCTTTAAACCAGTTAAGTTGTCTTCAAACAAAGTACATAAATGAAATCATCTTTTGTTCCATGTTCTAAAGAAACTTATGAAGTTATTGAAGGAAATGAAATAGAAACAATCAGATCACAAAGTAGTCTTTCTGATAATGTCATTTCAACAACACCTTCTTTTCAAAGAAAATCTCTAAAGAAAGCTCGATGGAGAAAAAGTCTCAAAGAAAAAGCAGTGACTTTAGGAAAAGATATTGGAATATCAAATACACTTAGGTATTTAAAGAAGTTTCCAGAGTATCAAAATTTATGTGCATCAACACTTTATTATTGGATTAGAGCTGAAGAAAGAGAATCTTCATCTGTTTCTCAACAAAGGCTATAATTTATATTTATTTTCTATTTGTAAAAACAATAAATGTGAAATAAAAAGAATTAAATAAACTCATAACAATAACTTTTTTAGCTATTTAGTTTTTTAATTATCAAAAGTAGAATTTTAGTTGAATCATTTATCATTGGTTTTTTAACAAATACACTTTGATTCATTAAATTGAATTATTCATTTAATACTTCATTTGTCATTACAAAAATCTTTGTAATAACTTCTTTACGACATTGTTTTTCATTTTTTTTTTTTTGAATACTTATTGGATTTTCAAGTTAGTTGAGCATTCCATTCAATAAAATGATATGAAACATTTTAAAACATACTTTATTTGTAACTTTTATAATTTATTAAATAAATATGATACTCAACATTGTATAGACTAACAGAATAATTAGATTTTGTTTTTTAAGATAAACTAAATAGAAAAGTTATAATCAAATTCACTCATATTACTTTCAAATATCAATTTTTCACTTATAAAAATATTTTTTTTTACATAGAGTTTCATAAATATGTTTATAATGTGTGTATTATATTAATTGTATTTTATTTAATAATGTAAGATATTCTAAAATAGAATATTAGTATTATTTAATTAAGAATGAATATCAAAAGTAGAACAAGAAGTTCTGTTTTTCTTTCTTTTTTGAAACTAATTGTCAACTCTTTTTATTTTCTATATTAGTGTGTTAATATAATTAATGTCATAATCCAGTGATTTGTTGTATTATTTATTTACTTTATTAAGTATTAAATACTACTCTAAATTCATAATATTATTCTAGAGTTGATGACATTTCCAATTTTTTCTAAATTTTGATATGTATTAAAACAAAATAATAACCATGAATAATATTTTTTTCATTAAAGTTGTAGTTGGGTAATATCATAACAACAAAAAGTAATAAGACGTACATTCATTTGTAACCTTTACAAAATGTATTAAAAAACTAATAAAAAGAAAAGAAGATATAAAAAGATTATATCTTTTAGTTTAAGTAAAAATCATTATTAAAAAAAGAAATAACGAAAGAAATAAAAAATGATAACAAATTTGAAAAGGTTTAAAAAGAAAAGAATAATTCTATAACAAATTACAAAATTAAAAAAAAATTAATATATATAAATATATGAATAATATTAAAACCAATTTGTAACGTTTAAAAAAGAACCTTAATTATATGGACAATTTCCAATAATTGTGCAAATTTCCATAGCTGAAGTACCGTTCATCATTAAATCAACAACCTTCTCCATTCCATAGTCCTTCATATAGTTGCAAGCATCAGTCCATCCACCATCAGTGTATTCACATAATCCTTCCATATATTCCATCATATAATCTTTTCCATTTGAAGTATAGTATCTTGAATCATCAATTATATGGAAACAGTTGATGCATGAACCAGCAAGTGCAAGAGCGCATAAAAGAGTAATAAGAAGTGCTTTCATTGATAAAAGAATGTTTGATATGTTAATGAGTTAAATCCGTAACCTTTAAATAACATTTCTTATCTATTTTTAGTAGATATCATACCCTCCTTCTTCTTATTAAGTGGAATAAGAATAAATTAGAACATAAAAATAAAAAAAAGAAAGTACTTCAAGAGGTAAAGTGTTTTTTTTTTTCATAGGTTATAAACAACGTTGTAATTATTCTTCAAACCTTTTTCAACCAATCCATTTTAGTTTCTATTTTTATCATTTCATTCCTCCTAAAAATAATTTTCTGGTAGAATAAACTTAAATAAAAGTTAACATTTTTACTTTTCCATAGATTCATTTTATTAAATGAAAACTAAAAGATATTATAAAGATAAATAATCTCCAAATTGTTGAGGTTTGTAAAGTGTTTTTAGTTTTCTGAAGAAATTGTACAAAAAAAAGATAAAAAGTATTTAAAAGAGGTTGAAAAGTAATATAAAACGAAACTAATAGATAAAGAAAAATTCCTCCTTTTATAAAACTCTTTTTAAATTTAATTTAATACCTCTTTTTGGTGATTTAAAATGGATAAAATTGTTAATCTATTTAAAAAAGGTTATTAATACTTTCTATAATGATAATGAAGACAAAATGATTTAGATATTATCAGGCAAAGATTTCAAACTATTCAAAAATGGAAACTTTTCCTTAAATAAATGAAGCAGAAAATACATTTATGGAAAAATGCAATAAAAATAAGAATTATTTATTTGTTAAAGTAAGTAAGAAAAGAATATTAAGTTTTATATTTAAAAGGAGGTAATACTATGAAATAAAGTATGAATAAAGAAATTTTAAAGAGAAATGATAAGAGTGTAATCTTATTAAAAAAAAGAGAAAGGAGTGTGAAGAGATAATAGGAAGATTAGATTATTAAATAAATTAAAGAGAAAACATATTATTTCAATATCAAAAAATATATGTATTTAAAAAAAAAGAAAAGATGTATTATTATTATTGATCATTTAAAGGTTCTTCTACTCCTAAATCTGAATTTCTTAATTTAATATGAGCTGAATTTTCTATATCTGCTAATGTTTCATCAATCCAATGTTCTTTTGGTTTGTATTTATCTTTTAAGAATAATAATTTATCAAGCCATTCTTGTTTTTCTTGAGCTGTTCCACGACCATAATATGAACCTACTTTTTGTCCCCAAGCAGCACAAAGATATTCAGTATTTCCAATTAATCCAGCTACTTCTATAGCTAATTCAAATGCTTCACGTGCGACTTTTTGTTCTTTTGAATCTATTTCATAAACAAATGGATTAGATAACATTACACCACAATACACATAAACTCTAAATGCTAATGAATGATTTTTTTTAATATAACCTTCATAGTCAAATCCTTTTTCATTTCTTAGCATTTGTAATTCACACATACATTTATAATTTGCTTCCATAGTTTTATCAGCAATCATTTTTTCTTCATCTTTTTTGGGAACAATACTATTAAGCATTGTAATAAACTCTCCATATAATTTAATCAAACGTAATGATC